TGCAGTTTAAATACGGATAAGTAGATTCTGCCTGAAGATCAAATATCTTTTGTTTCCACATGAATAGTGTAGAGCTTGCAAAAGATTCACAAGATAAACATATATTTCATTACTTTTCATTTATTATCTCACTATGAGCAATGTGCCTGAAGAGACATGCAAATGAAGGGTGAACTCTTGCTAAATTTTGCCTCAGTGACTTCCAACTGTGAGCTGAATTATTTTGATAAGCATGCATTGCACAGTCAAAATAAAAGATTGAAATTTCAATGAAAGGCCTATGGGATATAATGCTATACTGTTACGCTATATTGCACTAAACTATGAGTAAACAATAACACCACCTCTAACACTTAAATGTTAACTGTAACACAATATAACACTAAACCAGGCATGGGCAAACTTCAGCTCCACAGATGTTTTTGACTTCAACTTCCACAACCAGCTGCTGGGAATTGCGGGAGTTGAAGTCCAAAACACCCAGGGGGCCAAAGTTTGTTCATGCCTGCTCTAAACAGTACATGGATGAGCAATTGACAATATTACAGGTTGATCATAGTTTGAAAAGGTAAAGGTTTTCCCTGACATCAAGTCTAATCATGTTCGACTCTGGGGGTTGGTGCTCATCTCCATTTCTAAGTTGAAGAGCTGGCATTGTCCATAGACACCTCCAAGATCATGTGGCCAGCATGACTGCATGGAGCGCCATTACCCTCCCTACAGATTCAGTACCTAATGATCTACTTACATTTGCATGTTTTCAAACTGCCAGTTTTCTTTAAACCCAATTGAATTTTGTGATAGGTGGTAAGAGCTAGAGGTCAAAAATCCAAAGACTCGAAATGGCACATTCCATATTAGGACAAGTTATCATATAACTCTTGTTCTTATCTGTAGTTACAAATACTGATTCTGCAGTTCACATAGCCTCAGGAAGCTCAAACATAACTGATAAACATTTGGACAGAAGGGCATTTGCATAGTTCTAGCTCTTTTAAGCTCTTTTCATTAGAAATATGATAAAATGGGATTACAAAATGATATTATAGATATGAAATCCCTGACGATTCTAAAGTACAGTGTGAGTGACCTGTATATATTTATTATTTTGGGGAAATGTTACTCCTATTTGTGTGTGTGTGTGTGTATATGTCTCTACCATGTCTCTATATGTCTCTACCTTGTCTCTATATACTCGTCTGCAAAAAGCGAGTGTGTATATGTCTCTACCTTGTCTCTATATATATATGTAAACACAGCATCCAGTCAAGGTAGAGACATAGATATATAGGTGTGTGTGTGTGTGTGTGTGTGTGTGTGTGTGTGTGTAAAAACACAGCATCCAGTCAAGGTCTTATTAGACTCTCACAACAGTCTCCCATGAAGACCCAGACCGCATGAATGGAAAGAAATGTGGTGCTCATCAAACAGAATCACCAAAAGCTGACCAGAAAGTACAGAAAGGAACACATGGAAAGAGCCAGACCTGTTTCTTTGCACAAGGACACCTTTGGCAGAAGATCTGGATGAGCATGTAGTGTTTTCGAGAGGCCAAATTTAACAGTGGTTGCTGGTTGTTTCAGTTTATTTGGTATCATATTATCATAGACTTTCCTGGATCTAGACACTAAGTCACTATGCAGTGTTCCCTTGCTTATTGCGGGTGTTACGTTCCAGGGCCACACACAAAAAGTGAAAATCCGAGAATTAGGGACTACATATATATATAGCATTCCAAGGGTGAGGCAGAAGCAAGGAGAGATTTAAAGGCAGAAGCAAGGAGAGATTTTTGCTAGCTATAAGGAAGGGGCTATAAGGCCATGATTTCCATACTGCTTTGTAGCCCCTCTCTCTTTTTTTATGATTGGGTGCCTCTCTCCCGAGGGGGGGAGGGGTAAAACACATTCCATCATTGCCAGGAGGCAAAAACCCGTGAAATAGCGAGTCTGCAAAAAGCGAACCGTGAAGTAGCGAGGGAACACTGCACTCTTATTTATGCAGGACAAAATCCCATTGGGTTTTTAGCTGCCACATGACATTGTCAGCTCATGTTTAACTTGTTGTCCATGAGGATTCCAAGATATTTTTCACATGTACTTCTATTGTGCCAGGCATCCCCTATTCTGTATCTTTGCATTTCATTTGCCTAAGTGGAGTATCTTGCAATTTGTTATTTGTTATTTGTTGTTTAGCATTAACTTTTTTTTTCTAAATTGGTACTCTAAGCAGCTACTGAGCTTTCATTTGGGAGAAGAAGGTTCAGTGATACCCTATTCCAATATTTAAGGAATACAATTTTGACCTATCGATCTATCTCCACTGAATTCTGTGGTGTTAAATGTTGCTGTTGTTGTAGTTAGGCTGCACTAGGGATGAGCTTTTTTTCATTTCACTTATGCCCATATTAGGGAATGAATTTCGGTTAAAATTGGTTTTAATGATTGCTATGAAATTCTTCCCCATGGCTAGTTTTACAAATTTCTGGAGTGGTCAAGACTGGATGCTGATGATAAAGAAGCTTAATCCATAATATTTGAAATGCTTGAAATAATGGTTTCAGATATCAGTAATGGGAAAAGAGGGTTCCCAAATAGTCCACATTTTTGTTTTGGGAATGTAGCATGGGATTTACCAAAAGGCTTTGCTCAGAAGATAATTTACAGCAACATTTGTTTGCTTAGTCCCAGAATATTTAGCAGAAATCAAGAATTAAAACGCATGTGTGTGTGTGTGTGCATATATGTATGTCAATGTATGTGTGTGTGTGTGTGTGTGTATGTATTCATGTGTGTGTATGTATTGGATGTGTCTCTTTGAATTATACATTCAAAGTAAAATGTACAGGACTCTCAAAAACTTTGCTAGAGACTATTGTTTCTGTTTCTATGGAAACAGGTGCTGAATTGCTATGCACATGGCAGTGAACAATCACTATAAAAGGAACTGCTGCAAAAATACTGGCTAGATGAGGCTTTTAATATAAATCCTTTATACAAACATCTGCACTAAGCTGAAATGCAAATGGATAGAATTAATGCTTCTCAGTGACTCCAAGCATGAGCATCCATTGAAGGTTCTGCTGCACATGAATTCATTTGAGTCTCACCCATCAATTGTTTAATCTTTCGAAATATTAATTCTTCTGGAAAGGGACATAACTACTCTAAAAATGGAAAATGTAATTCATTCTCTGTCTGGATTTGATCCAGAGAACCCATTTGTATTGTTTTTAAGCATAAAAAGTATTTCTTCAATAGCCATACTGGCCCAAGATGTTTTGTTAGCTAACACTGTGAATAAGATGGCACTCTCTCCATTCCAAGTAAGTTCACTGGATGGAGAGTTACATTTTAACTCAGCACTGGCAATGAGAGAGAGAAAAAACTTCTTCACTATACCCAAGGGTCGCAGACTGAACTGACAAGTCCTAGGATTCCATAGCATTGATTCATGGCTGTTAAAATGGTTTCAAACTGCATTAAGTCTACAATATAGATGCCACCTTAAGAGAAGCTAGGACACCGGTTCAGGTTGTATAGTAAGAGCAATGGAGGTATCTTTAGAGGAACTTCTTAAATTAAGAGGAGAAACAATATCTGTTGGAGTGTTAACCTTTTGAACTTCCACCCTTGACTCAACTGTATATTCTGAAATAAAAACAAATATTGTAAAATGCATTTGATGTCCAACAGCCTCATTAAAAGGAAACTGGACTTGGGAGGAATGCTCATGTCCCTGGAGTTCTCAGCTCTCATATAAATGGGTCGAAGGATCATAACATTATGGTCCATCCTTGTTGTTCTCTTGTTGTGTGCCTTCTTGTCATTGGTGACTCTAAGGCAATTTCGTCACTGGGTGTTCTTGGCAAGATTGGTTAAGATGAGGTTTACTGTTATCTTCCTCTGAGACTGAGAGGGCATAACTTGCTGAAGTGCATCCAATGGGTTTCTGTGGCTGAGCAGGGATTTAAACCCTGGTCTCCAGAGTTGTATCCAGTTCTCAAACCATTACACCACACTAGCTTCCTCTCTTCTTGTATTAATGCTATTTTGCATCAATTCAAAATGTATCAATGCTATTTTGTATCAATACTATTTTGCACCAAAGGCCTTCGTGACTGCTTATCTAGTTGTACTGCCTTTAATTTATACACTAGCTTACTGATTTTATTATTTTTATCAAGTATATTATACCTGAATATTTTTACTCATATATTAGCATTTTACTTAATACATTTGCTAATAATGATTTTTTTTAAAGGAAAACCTGTTCTTAAAATAGCATGTCAGATATTTGTGGCTGCTTTCTCTTTTTGAAGGGGCATACTTAATAATAAACCATTTTTCCACTACTAATAAGTTTAGGGGTTATTTAATTTTATATGTGATGTGGATGGGTGGGATAAGAACAAATATATAAGTTTGACAGCACAGCAATCCAAAATTAAGTGAACAATAAGTATTTGACATATTTTCTTTCAACTGACAATGAATATTCGAGATAAATATACACAGTATCTAATCTGTAGTGCTTCCTAATGTAAACTATGGAGCATTTCATAAAGAAACTATTTTTACAAATGGCAAAAGTAAGGGGGAATTCTAAGTTACAAGAACTTGTCCTTCCCCATAAACTTGTAGCAAGTTCAGAATGGCTCATGTGAGAAACAATTACACTGTCTCATGAGATCTCAATGTTCTACCATTGTTGAAACAGTCTGAAACTAAATTATGGAAATGTATTAACCAAAGCATCACAGCAAGAGAAGTGGCTCTAAACTTATTCAGAAAGTGTTTGAGAGAACTTAACATAACCACAAAGCAGTTTTCAGTTCTCAGATCTTTTACCTTCACAGAGTAGTTTGTCTGGTTTAAGCAATTGTTGCATCTGAAATAAAAGTAACACACACACGCACAAAAAAACACAAAACAGACAACAACAACACCCACCCTTCACAAATACAGTGTGGATATTTTATACAAAATGTTTTTCTTTTATAGGATTTCGAGCTATACAATGAACTGAAAATGAATGTTCTAAATCTTCTAGAAGAAGTGTTGAGGGACCCTGATCTGTTACCACAAGAAAGAAAAGCTACAGCAAACATATTGAGGTAAAGAAATTAAATTAGAGATTGTACTGATGCAATAAGGGCAGCAAAGAATTGTTTCTGTGGAGTGAGCTCTAAAATGGTCCCCAGACTATGCTCAATCAGATTTATCCTACGTCTTCTTCCACTGTTGTTCTAGTTGTCTATTAAAACCAAAACAACTCCTGTGGACATCCACCACATTGAGGCCTTGGAAAATAAAATCTGGGGAAGTAATTGAGGCACATATTTGTCTGGTTTTGATGGATGAGATTCAGTTTCTTGAAAGAGATATGTTCCAAGCCTTCTAAAAGAAGCAATTGTAAGATCACTGTTAAAGAAAGTTTTGTTGAATCCCACAACCCTATATAATTTTCAGCCAGATTCAGATATCACTTTCTAATTATACACTCACACACAGTGTGCATATGTGTGTGTGTGTGTATATGTGTGTGTGTGTGTGTGTGTGTGTTTATGTGTATGTATATATATATATAATGGTCGATGACCAGTACCAAAAATGAACAAATGTCAGAACAGGAACATATACTGTACATTTAGGTGTTAAGAAACACTGTCAAAAGCAACATCACATTCTAATTTAAGATCTTAAGAGTGTGTGGTGACACACCACCATGCTTTTTTGGCTGAAATTGATCGATTCCAATCTGAATTTGGACCTACTTATGGGACAGAAATGGCTTTGGTTCCCTTAGTGGATGACTTGTCCCTGGATCTGGATGGAAGGACTGCATCCTTAGTGTGCCTATTGGACATTCAGTACTATTGATCATGATATGTTTCTGTGTCATTTGATTGACAACAGAATGGGGAACACTGCTTAGCAGTGATTCCTGTCTTTTTGGCTGAAATTTTCCAGAATATGGTTCTGGTGCCTGTTCAGTCTGTTGGACATCAAGTTGTAGAGTCCCAGATAGTTAGTTCTGGGACAATACTGTCTTCTACATGAAGCTGTTGGAGGATATTATCTGGAGTTGGGATTGGATCTCACCTGTACACTGATGGTACCCAAACAAGCTCTGGAAAATTTGAATCATTGTCTGGATGCAGGGAAAGATTGGCTGTAATCCAATAAGTTGACATGACAGAAGTGTGATTGAGCAGTAGGAAAGCTAACCTGTTAGTGATAGCTCTGGAATGTGAGGGGTAGTTTATTGTTTGGTTCTGTGTTATGAGACAGTTTCTGTTGCCTCTTGAAGGTTTACCTGTTCCTGGCAACAGTTTCTAATGTGATTGCTGTGAATACTGCACTTTTTATAGAGTCCTAGGGCACTTTCAGAGAGGCCTATATGCCAGGATCTGATCCGAGTTTTCTGATTTAAACCGGATTATATGAGTCTGCATTACCAGATAATATGGGATAAACAGAAAACCTGGGATCAGATCCTGGGATATAGGGCTTGTATGGAAGGGCCCCTACAGATGATTCAATGGAATCCTTTCCCTACTTAGCTGGATGTAAACTTTTTTTTAACCATCTCCCTTCTCTATGTTGAAGGGAAAGGGTAAAAAGAACTTGTTGTGTAGGGTGTCTGCTTCTGATATTACCCTCAGAATTTGGTCTAAAATACTGGGAAACCCATAAGAACCTTCCACCTCTATGTTGAAGGTTCTTAATGGGTTTCTCAGTGTTTTAGGCCAGGTTCAGAGGGTGATTGAGGGATTATTTGTGTTAGAAAATGCACCCATCCATTTTGCAGACCCCACAGGATCCAATGAGACTCACCTTTGAGTAGAAATGTATAGAATACTGCTATTGTTAGAAATTATCTAAAACAGTAATTTTCCCAGTTTTGTCTTATGATTTCAACTGAAATATTGTCACTGTCAACAAAGCATTTTGCTATGACGTCTTTTGCCCATTGTTTTTAGGGCACTTTCCCAGGAAGATCAAGATGACAATCACTTAAAAATAGAGGACATCATGCAGACGGTGAGTTTAGATATGCGTATCTTAGGTTTTTCTCCGTAACTCTATAAAACTGGTGAAAGCACTAGTATTATGTCTTTTACTCAGTGCAACCTTGATAGGAAATTACTGCCCCTTTTGAATTTGCATTTTATCACTCTGTGCTCATTTTTTGACACCTGTTGTTGAAAAAAGAATAACTTCACACATGAATACTGGCTCAGTGAGACATTAGGCAAAATATGGGCCACTCTTTTGAATATACATCTGAGGTCATTTTGAGTGAGGCATATTCTATGAAGGAACATGGTCACTCTAGTTATATTATTATACAAATTATTTGAAATTGGAGTACCAATTTGCATGTGAAAGCACGAACGAAAGGACATCGGGGAAAAAGACTCAGTGTGCTGTCTTCAACCACAAAGGACTTATTTACATGGAGGAAAGTATCAAATGAAAGGAAATTTGAAGTGCAGAAAGACTTCTTCCTGGGGAAGCAGATAGCTTTGTAATTATAGTCCTTGCCAATCAACGTGTTAGAATGCTTGGTATAAAAGTGTCACGAAGCTCTCAGCTCCACTGATGTTCAGGAGCTAGAGAAGATCAGTTACTGAATTAAGCTCTTCTTAAGTCTTCTGAAGAAGGATTGCATCTCAAAGATAGAACACAGGCCTGACATGTAAAGAGTCTCCATTTAAGCCTTGGCATTTTCAAGTAGTGAGAGAAAAGGTTCCTGCAGTAGAACTACTGCTTGTCAGCGTTGGTAGCTGTAGTCCAGATGGACTAATTATCTGAGTCCGCATAAAGCATTCCTATTAGCCTTTATTTTCTGATTGATAGTCTGGAGTACTGTGCTTTTGTTACTTCTGCAAATGAGACCATTTGTTCAGAACGCTAGACAATCCTGTTCTTTTTTCCATCCTTTTTTGGAGTTGCTATCAACTGGTTTTATTTGCAAAAGTAGCTTATGTGTTATGCATCAATATTTTATGTAGACTCCATTGTACTAATACGTTAGTAATTCTTGTATAATTGTCTGCTTCTTTGAGCTTAACTATTATCTAGCTGACTGTTTTATCACTTCCAATAGTGAACAGAGGCAGTGAGTGCCAATAGAATTGCGGGCAAATAAGGCCACTAAGAACCAATGGGAAGAGATCAGCAAGTTCAGGAGAAATGAAAACAAAACTTTGAGGAAATAAATCCTAAAGAGGAACCCAAAATGTCCCCATAAGGACCAAGAATGCTGAACAGATGCAGAACAATGTCTATTGGGAAAGAAAAACAAAAGGCTGGGGGAATAAATAGGAAACAAAATAGAAGAGGGCATCACTAGAATTCTGAATAGGAATACTCCTTTTATGGAACAATGATCCTTTTATGGATCAATAGGAGCAATTATGTTGGAGGTTCTACTTTTATGGAGCAATTATTTTGGAGGTTCCATTTGTTATTTGTTATTTGTTGTTATTATGAGCCCTTAAGTCATTTCTAACTTATCATGATAGATCAACCCATCACAGTTTTTTTTTTTTGCAAAATTCGTTCAGAAGGGTTTTATCTTTGCTTTCTTGTGAGACTGAAAAATGTGATTTGCCTAAGATCACCATTGTTTCCAAAGTCATAATCCAACTTTCAAACCAATATATCATGTTTACTATTAGCTAGGATGGGGCCGTGGTGGTCCAGCAGGTTAAACCGCTAAGCTGCAGAACTTGCTGATGGAAGGTTGGCAGTTCAAATCTGTGAGACGGGGTGAGTTTGAATCTGTGAGATGGGGTGAGCTCCCATTGTTAGCCCCAGCTTCTGCCAACCAAGCAGTTTGAAAACATGCATATGTGAGCAGATCAATAGGTACCGCTTCAGTGGGAAGGTAATAGCGCTCCATGCAGTCATACTGGCCACTTGGCCTAGGAGGTATATATGGACAATGCAGGCTCTTCAGCTTAGAAATGGAGATATGCACCACCCCCCCAAAGTTGGACTCGACTAGACTTAATGTCAAGGGAAAACCTTTACCTTTACTATTAGCTATCATTAATGTTGACTGCCGACTGTAAACTACCTCGAGTTGCCTCCGGGTTGAGAGGAGGGTATATAAATATGGTAAATGAATGAATGAATGAATAAATAAATAAAGTATTTATTTATCGTGTCAGAAGCAAATTGAGGGTACAGTTGTAATGTATTTAAAAACACAAAGTTAAAAGACTTGGCATTATACTAAATGTCCTTTGACCAGTAGCTAGCCACTTGGAGTGCCTCCTGGTGTTGCTATAATAATTAAGTACCAATGTTACATGAAACTTCATAAAGAATATGGTGACATATTCCCAGCGGAATTGGCTCATTTGTATAGTCTCTATCTGTAACAGGAACTATATTAAGTCTAGTTTACAAATGGCTAACTAACTAGAAAAAAGAACTGTTCTTATTTACAACAGTCACAGATTGCAGTGCTCTAGATTACCAAGCAAACAACAAAACGATGCAATACAGTGAAATCTATATGATCATTAACTTAATTTGATTACTGAAATTTAAGGATCAAATTTTGGCTTTTACAAATGTTATCTTCAACATTATATTTAAATGCTATGTTTGAAAGGTATTTTAAGATTAACCTAAAAAGAACATGCAAATAATAATGTAATCATACATTTTGAGAAAAAGCATTATTATATTTGAATCCTTTGCATAATAAGCCTCATTCTTAACATTTTAGAAACTGAAAATGTTACCATTTGGAAGTCTATTTTACTGAATGGTTTAAAAATAAGAAGAAAGTTCTAAACTCTGGAGAATATTCTATCATCAAGCTTAGGATGATGTAGAACTATATTATAGGATATGTGTTTTCAAAAGAATTTCAACTATTCCTTTTTATTTCTATAAAAATCTGTTCAATATGTATTTAACTTATGCTGTATTGTGCCCAAATTAACAAATCTTCATCCATAGCAGAATTCTTGGCTATGTAAGTTTGCTTCGTAAGTTTGCAAATTAGTAAGTTTGCTTACTAATTTACTTTCTACATATACAGGCAGTCCCCAAGTTACAAACAAGGTTCTATAGGTTTGCTCTTAAGTTGAATTTGTTTGTAAGTCAAAACAGGCACATTTTAAAGTGTAACTGCAGATACTCAGAGTGGTTTACACATACACAGAAAGGCAAACATTCAATGCCTCAAAATATGTATTTATTTATGGCATTTGTAGCCCGCCTTTCTCAGCCTTACAGCGACTCAAGGCGGCTTACAGAATTGGCAGAATTTGATGCCATACGTTCATTATGTTGGATGTTAAAAACATCCAACGTAACATTATAAAAACCATATAAAACCATTACAAACATATCATCACCAGTGTCATCTTGTTAAAATCATTATCCAGTAGCATTGTCCAGCCATTTTGTGTTCATTCTTCTTATTTCATAATTGTTTATTCCTCTTGTTTATTTCCAAACGCTTGTTCAAAAAGCCAAGTTTTTACTCTTTTACAGACATATCAAAATAATGTAAAATAATGGAGAGTAACAACAGAAAACTTACAACAAAGGAATTAAGTATAAAAACAAGAACAATCCACTAAGACATGAAAAGTAAAACATAAATAAACATTACAAATGTACAAAAATAAACATTTCTCTCTCTCTCTCTCTCTCTCTCTCTCTCTATATATATATATATAGCTAGCTAGCTTTGGATAACATAGGGAAGGGTTAACACCTCCATGGTGTTTGTTTTTCTGTCTGTGCCCCTGTTCAGAAGATTTAACTTAAACTTTCTATCCCTGTTATAGTTGAATTTTGAAAAAAATGGCTTGTGGAAACAAGGATTGGTGAGAAAGCCTCAGTTGAGATCCCTTTCCTCCATGATTCAGGAATTTCCCTTCCTAGGAGTAGATTTCTCTCACTTTCTATTGTCTTACCCCAATTCTTAACTGTGAGTCATTTATAAGTCAGATGTTTGTAACTCGGGGACCGCCTGTAATAGGAAGTAGGCAGTAAAATTAATAGCGTATCTCATTAACCTAAAATGATGTGAACTAAAACTTGCCTTTTAATCAAATGTGTGCTTCTTTACTTACAGTTAGAATGTCCTAAACCAGAGTGCTTTGAAACGCTATCAGCCATGGAGCTTGCTGAACAAATAACTCTCTTAGATCACATTGTTTTCAGAAGCATACCCTATGAGTAAGTAGTTTTTGAATAATTATAATCAAAGTGAAAATATTTTAAGTGAAGTTTCAAGAGAGGGTGATTCACACTAGTGGCAAGTCTGTAAAAAACAATGTGAATGCATAATAGTCTGAGTTGTGTTTTGTGTTGGTTAAGATTGATTAAAGAATAAATGGGCCATGAAAAACTAATGTCAATATGTTTAGCAGTATCATACTGTCTCCATGGAGTTCTTTGTGAACAGGATGCAGTTCGTTTCCTGAAGGGGCTAACCGCAATGAACATGTGGCATTATTGTTATCATACTTGCTGCCAGATCAGGAAATCTGTGGGAACAAAGCTAGGAAAGGTTGAGTATATAAAGCAAAGTGTGGCTCTCCAATGTTGTTGAATTTCCAATTCCAGCATTCCTAAGCATTGGCTATGCTAGGCAGGAATAATGGCTGGCTAGGACCAAGACCCACATTTTCCCCATACTTTTTGATACAATCCGCCTATCCTTATTACTCCCTAAATTAGCTATGTCCTTAGTACGGGGGTCATATCTCATATGCTGTCCTGGAAGGAGGCCCGAAGGGAGCATATGAGACAGTGGTGCTCCTTCTCTGGCCATCATAGAAACTGTCCCAGTGGTTGCTTCTTGATCAAGTCAGATCTCAAGAGTATAAAGCTTCAGCCTTGGGGAGTGGGTAGGGCTGTGTGAGGGGCATATCAGTCGGTAGTAGGGAGAGGCTATGGATCCGGAGGAAGGAAGGGACAGAATGTGGAGTCGTCCCTCCTGCATCACCACCACCACCCCAGATAAAGCTCAATATGTGTCAGTCCTGGAGCTGATTAGTCTTTCTTTCATTACAATGGAAAACATTTCTCCTTAAAAACATTGAGAATGTGTACAAGAGGGAACCAGGTCCCCACCTTTGCCCTATGAGCAAGAAAAATTGGAAAATTCTGTACCAAAGTGCTCTGTAAAATCAGAGTGCTCTTTTGTTGTTGATTTAAATTCTATTCCAGAAGTGGTTGTATTGGCTTAGAGATTTTTGTTTTCGTGTCAGGAGCAACTTGAGAAACTGCAAGTCGCTTCTGGTGTGAGAGAATTGGCCGTCTGCAAGGATGTTGTCCAGGGGATGCCTGGATGTTTGATGTTTTACTATCCTTGTGGGAGGCTTCTCTCATGTCACCGCATGGGAAACTGGAGCTGACAAAGGGAGTTCATCTGCTCTCACCTTGAATTCAAACCACTGACCTATTGTCAGCAAGTTCTGCCAGCACAAGGGTTTATCCCATTGTGCTACTGGGGGCTCCCAGACTTAGAGATGGCACAAATGTATTATTCTATTCAAGGTTGCATAAACTTTACATATGGAGGCACTGGAGCCCCCAGTGGTGCAGTGGGTTAAACTGTTGAGCTGCTGAGCTTGTTGACCAAAAGGTTGCAGGTTCAAATCTGGGGAGTGACGTGAGCTTCCGTTGTCAGCCCCAGCTTCGGCCAACCTAGCAGTTTAAAAACATGCAAATGTGAATCATGCAGGCCACATGACCTTGGAGTTGTCTACAGACAACGCTAGCTCTTCGGCTTAGAAATGGCGATGAGCACCACACTCCAGAGTTGGACATGACTGGACTTAATGTCAGGGGAAAACCTTTACCTACCTATGGATGCAGTGCCAAGGAGGTTCTGTAAATCCATCCTTTAGACGTAATTTCATTTGGTGAAAAGCAGTGTGATTCATTATTCCAAGATAGGCACCCTTTTTTATTTTATGCTAGGCAACTGGTGAAGAAGGTCTCAACCTAAGTCTGTATACTCCGTAGTTTTCTCATTATTGGAGGATAGTAGATCCAAAGAAGGTACACGAAGAACTCTATGACTCACGTATTTTTCATGATCTTTCTGACAAAACCAATTGTGCACTATTATTTATTTTAGTGCCAGCACAAAAGACTTGCAGCTTATTGCCTTACTTTAAACAGTTGTCTGTAGCAAGCTTGGGTATTAGATATTCTTTCAATTCTTTCTTCAAATAGAAGAGAAAAAGCTACAATGGGGATTTAGGCCCTTGTTGTATATCTAGGAGTCTCTTAATCAATCAGTCAATTAATCAATCCATATTTTTCTACCTTTTCGTATCTTTAAGAAGATCTGAACTGGCTACTGGTTGGTGGTTATTGTTGTTCTTAGGTTTTTATGATGTCTGTTGTTCAGTTTTATTGTTTTAATTATTGAAATGCAATGTATTTTAATTGTGCTCTATTTTATTCTGTTGGGCTTGGTTCCATGTAAGCCTCCCCAAGTCCCTTCAGGGAGATGGTAATGGGATATAAGAATAAAGTTGTTGTTGTTGTTGTTTATTCTTTTCCTTTCTTCCTCCTTTTTTCCAGAGAGTGGGATATAAGAATAAAGTTGTTGTTGTTATTGTTGTTTTTGTTTATTCTTTTCCTTTCTTCCTCCTTTTTTCCAGAGAGTTTCTTGGGCAGGGTTGGATGAAATTGGACAAAATTGAAAGAACACCTTATATTATGAAAACCAGCCAACACTTTAATGATGTAAGTTACTTTAAAACAGGATACTTTCTAGGAAAAGAAATACTGTAATCTGGATTTACCATAGAGATCTCTACAAAATCTAGATTTTCTGAACAGATTACAAACAGTTTGATAGTGCAGTGGCCCTTGGTATCCATCCACTTGAATTTGGTTCCAGGACACCCCCTCCCAAATGGATACCAATATCAATGAATGCTCAAGTCCCAGTATATACAATGGTGGTATCTTTTAAATAAATGGTGAACAACTGAAAGCAAATGTCACACAGTTTGTTTTTATTTAATAAAAACAAACTTAAAATAATATGTTTGTTATACATAATTTAGTTTATTTTTTCTAGTTTTGCTTTTAGCATACAGCTGAGAGTCATTACCAATAGCAACCGTGCTAATGTCAGCAGTCATGTTATTTGGTAGAACATTGTGCTGCGATTATCATCTACTCTACACTTTATTTCACTTACTCTTGTCTTGTTACCTTTAGACGTTCATGAAATGTATTATTAGTCTTAATTGCTAAAAAGCCATAATCATTCCGTTCATTTTACTGTTTAACTGTACGTTGTACATGCAAGGAAAAAAAAAGAACTCCTTCTTTGGCCTAGATGAGCAACCTTGTTGCATCCCAGATTATGAATTATGCGGATGTTGGCTCACGTGCGAATGCGATTGAGAAATGGGTAGCAGTCGCAGACATCTGCCGATGTTTGCACAACTACAATGGTGTGTTGGAAATCACATCAGCCTTGAACAGAAGTGCAATCTACAGGCTGAAGAAAACCTGGGCTAAAGTTTCTAAACAGGTAAAGAATATGCATTGATTCACACATTTTCCATTGTATATGTCCTTATTGTAAATACCTTTAAGTTCTTCCTAATGTTCAGGGGGAATCTCCTTCCCTGTAGTTTGAAGCCATTGTTCTACGTCCTAGTCTCCAGGGCAGCAAAAAACAAGCCTGCTCTCTCCTCCCTATGACTTCGCCTCACATATTTATACATGGCCATCCGATCCCCTCTCAGCCTTCTCTTCTGCAGGCTAAACCTGCCCAGCTCTTCAAGCTGCTCCTCATAGGGCTTGTTCCTCAGACCTTGATCCTTTTGATTGCTCTTCTCTTGACACATTCCAGCTTGTTAACATCTTTCTTCAATTGTGGTGCCCAGAATTAGACACAGTATTCTGGGTGTGGTTTAACCAAGGCAGAATAGAGGGATAATTTTGCTACTGTATGACTTCCCTGGATTTAGACACTATACTTCTATTTATGCAGGCCAAAATCAAATAGGCTTTTTTAGATGCTGCATCACTTTGTTCGCTCATGTTTGTTTAACTTGTTGTCCACAAGGACTCCAAGATCTTTGACATGTACTGCTATCGAGTCAGGTCCTCCATTCTGTCTCTTTGCATTTCGTTTTTTCTGCCTAATTGAAATATTTTGCATTTATCTCTGTTGAACTTCATTTTGTTAGTTTTGGCTCATCTCTAATCTGTTGAGATCATTTCGAATATATACAGGAAAAATAGATTTCCACAACTCTATGAACTCTTTGTAGGAAGTCACACTGTACCAGAGTGTAGGTTCCAGAAAATTGCTCACTAGTCTTACAGAGAATGTCATTATAGAAAAAGTGGAGGAGGCAACAAGGGAGTGGCCATTTTGGGGAGAAGTGTAGATATTTTGAGGTGCTTCCAAGATGAGAAATTGCAAAACACCATGCCACAAGACACAAGGGTGACCAACTGAGACAAAATTAGAACTGATGGAGAGATAGGAGAGGTGCTGCCTTCCTCATCCTCCTTAGAGAAAGTTGGTCATAGACCGGACAAAGATGTCTAGATTTCCAAAAAAAGTTGGTAATACCATCTGTATCATGAGTTGAATAGGATTTTTCAGCTAATTATCTTAGGGCCTGCATTTCTTCTAACCGTAGCTGACTATGACTCAGTGCCCGTCCAGACAGGGCCTTTATTGCGGGAACTCCCGCAATAAAGGAGGGGCTCTTCTGGTACTAACCCTCCTCAACCTGCACAAGTGGGCCAACCTTTGAAGCTTTTATTATGAGCTTCCAGAAGGCTTGTATGCATTAAACTGTCCCTCATAAAGCTCAATATATACATTAACTGCAACCTAAGGAGGGATGTGTATACATGTGTATTCATATAGGATTCTTATCTCCCATGGGAAAGGGAGGGAAACTTATGCTGAAACGGAGGTGGGAAAAGTGTGAATTAAACATCTCAGTAACTTCCAATAGGTTACTGAGTCATGCAAGTTGAATTGGTGGTGGTGACAGTGATGGAATTCAGGGGTCCCCTTGTCATGATGTGTTTTCTTCATGGTCAAACACAGGTAGTCAAGATCTAAGTCCAAAATTCTTGAATCAAAATCAAAATCTACAATCCCAGTGCCAGTAAGTCAGTGTCCATGTTTCAAGATCAAACAAGCAAGCAAGTAATTATAACTAATTGTAAGACAGAATCCAATGTACTTAAGTCCTGTTCCAGTCTAGGGTACACACAATGAGTTCACGATAACACCATCCAGCAAGATGTTGCCTCCAGCATCAAGACCGCAAAATCAAGACTTTTTTACGCTAAGGTCACAGGTGTTGCTTGTGGTAGGCTGTTTTTCAGCTAACCTGGCAGACCTACGTAATTGAGCTTGCTGTCTGTGAAGCTGCACATGAAAAGGAGCAGTTAACCTTTCAGTAGTCTGACCTGAAGTGCTGGCTTCTGCTTGCTTCTCCTGTTGAGATGTGGTCACAGCTGCTAAGGGTTCTCCTTCTACAGCAGTGGTTCTTAATCTTCCTAATACCGCAACCCCTTAATATAGTTCCTCATGTTGTGGTAACCCCCAACCATAACATTATTTTTGTTGCTCCTTCATAACTGTAATTTTGCTACTGTTATGAATTACAATGTAAATATCTGATATGCAGGATGTATTTTCATTCACTGAACCAAATACCCAATATGCCCAAATTTGAATACTGTTGGGGTTGGGGAAGAGATTACTTGTTTTATCATTTGGGGGTTGTAGTTGCTGGGATTTAAAGTTAATCTACAATCAAAGAGCATTTTGAACTACCCCAATGATGGAGTTGAACCAAACTTGTCACACAGAACTCCCATGACCAACAGAAAATACTGGAAGGGTTTGGTGATCATTCACCTTAAGGTTTTGGAGCTGTAGTTCATCTGCATCCAGAGAGCATTGTTGACTCAAACAATGATGGATCTAGCCCAAAACATGGCACGAATGCTCAATATGCCCAAATGTGAACACTGGTGGAATATGGGGAAAATACACCTTGACATTTGGGAGTTGTCCCCAAAATCCCAGCAACTACACTGGGATTTATAGTTCACCTACAATCAAAGAACATTCTGAATTGGGCCAAACTTCCCAAACAAAACCCCCATGACCAACAGAAAATACTGTGTTTTTGGGTGGTCTTTGGCGACCCCTCTGAAATCCTCTCGAGATCCCCCCAGGGATCCTGACCCCCAGGTTGAGAAGCACTGTTCTACTATCAGCTGTGCAGGCTGCTGAAAGATGTTGGTCTTCAGCTCTAATCACTCATCATCAACATCAAAGCTGACCAGAATACCCCTCTCCTACTAAAGAGGAGGAGACAGGGCTGGAGCCTACTACAGACCCAAACAAAAAAAGATTAACTGGTCAATTGAGTGGGAAGGACTGACCATGGAGATTTGTTTTACAGAGGCAAGGGGAAGCCGGACATAGTGAGATATACTCAATCTTGATTTTAAGAAACCTGATTTTAATAAGTTTAGCGAAATACTCAGTGAAATTCCATGGTTGGAAATGCTTCATGGTGCATGGAGTTTTCTTTATAGTGACACAATGAAGGCAATTTCAAGGATGAAGAAAAGTAGGAGTGCCCAGAAAACTCTCAATGTGTGGAGAGCATTCAGGAAGCTGTGAGCTAAAAGACTCATGTACAAGAAACAGAAAAAGGGAAAAACCTCAAAAAAAAAAAAAAAAGAGAAGTCAATCCTTGTAAGAGAAAAGTCAGAATCACTAAAGCTCACATGATCATAGGCTTATTAGAGAGGTTAAAAATAATGTTAAAATGCTTTTGTTGGGCTACGTTCAGAGCAAGAAGGAAATGATAGGGTCACAGCATTGAAAAGATGGTGAAAAGCTAACAGAGAGGAAGCCAAATAGTTTAATACCTTCTTTGCCCCAGTCTTCTTGCAATAAGTAAAGAGATAATAAAAAATAGCTACTCTCAATGAATCCAAGTCTCCAGGGCTGGATGAATTGCATCAAGAGTGCTGAAGGAACTTGCAGATGTAATCTCACATAATCTTTTAGAGTTTTTGGAGAATGGGAGAGTTCTCAAAAGATTGGAGGAGGGGAAATTTTCTCAGCTTCGAAAAAAGAGTAAAAAAGACTACTTACCAGTCAGCTTTAAGTGGATAATAGGAGAAATTAGATATTATTAAATAGTCAGTCTTCGTGCACTTAGATCTGAATGCATTGGTTACTAAGAACCAGCATGGGGTTCCTAAAAATAGGTCATGCCAAACTAAATCTATTTTTCGATTAAAGAACAATTTTGATGGATTGGGAAGTCTTGTGGGTATAGTATATCTTGATTTCAGTGAGAATTTTGACAAGGTTCCTCATGATGTGTTGTCAAAGGTTTTCATGGCCAGAATCACTGGGTTGCTCGAGTTTTTTGGCCTGTATGGCCATGTTCCAGAAGCATTTTCTCCTGATGTTTCATCCACATCTATGGCAGGCATCTTCAAAGATTGAGAGGTCTGTTGGAAACTAGGCAAGTGAGGTTCATATATCTGTGGAATGTCCAGGGTGGGAGAAAGAACTCTTGTCTGTTTGAGGCAAGTGTGAATGTTGCAATTGGCCATTTTGATTAGCATTTAATGGCCTTGTAGCTTCAAAGCCTGACTGGTTGCTGCCTGGAAGATCCTCATATTGTTTAAGCTTTTCCAGTTGCTTCTTGTGAATTCTGCTGTTGCCTGGGATTGCAACATCAACGATCCATACTTCGTTTTTTTTGCATGATTGTGAGGTCAGGAGTATTTCAGAAGTCCCAGAGTAGTTTGACTTGTTTATTTTGTGTAACTTTTTCAGGCTTCTGATCCCACCAGTTTTTTGTTGCAAGCAGGTGGTATTTGTGGCACAAGTTCCAGTGGATCATCTGAGCAACAATATTATGCCTCTTCTTATAATCTATCTGTGTATATTATTATTATTATTATTATTATTATTATTATTATTATTATTATTTTCCTGCATGGAAGGAAGTTGGACTAGTTGGCCCCTGTATTCTCTTCCAGCTCTAAGTATTTATGATTATTTCCCACTGAAGGGTAAGCTAAAAGTACAAGCTGATATTGTGTCTTAAATGCAATAGTTTATCTCAAAATATAGCATTATAGAATGTTAATTAATATTTATTGAATGCTACTTTTACTACAGTTGGTTTTCCTCTTTCTTTTTCAACTGGTGGCAGTGTTGTATAATGGGCAAATACTGGCCTTGTTCTGAGTAGATAGGTTTTCAAACTTGATTAAGAGCCAAACCATGTAATTCTCAAGCAAATGTTTACTGGGTAATGAGAATAAAGCCATGCCATATTGGGACTATTGCTACCACCAGCCCACCACACCCATTTTGGAGAGCTGGTGCCCATTTGAATAATTATCTGTCCCATATTTCAAGTTTTATCATTTTAAAAACATCAAATCTTTTATACAAGCAGTTACAGGTCGAAGTGTTCGGCTAATACTGTTTAATACTTCCGCCATGATTTGGATTGTTTCAGAGCATTAGCACACACACCACAGATCTTTTTGTCAGAGTCAGAAATATCTAGCATGTAATTCTGGGGTGGTGGTGCAGCGGGTTAAACTCCTGAGCTACTGAACTTGCTGACCGAAAGGTTGGCGGTTCAAATCCACAGAGCGGGGTGAGCTCTCACTGTTAGGTTCAGCTTTTGCCAACCTAGCAGTTTGAAAACATGCAAAGGTGAGTAGATCAATAGGTACCGCCTTGCCGGGAAGGTAATGGCACTCCATGCAGTCATGCTGGCCACATGAACTTGGAGGTGTCTACGGACAATGCTGTCAATTCGGCTTAGAAATGGAGATGAGTACCAACCCCCAGAGTGCAGGCATGAACAAACTTTGGCCCCCTGGGTGAACAAACTCCCCCTCCCCCCCCCCGAGTCAGACATGACTAGACTTAATGTCAAAGGGAAACTTTTACCTTTACTAATTCTAGGGTATGATATGCGATCTACACATTCAAATAAATTGCCACCTGGATGAAATGGTTGTATTATGGGTAATTGCTTTGCCTTTGGGAAGCAACTTGTTTTATATGAGCTATGATTAGCAAAGATTGCTTAATTCCACAATTATTTCAGAGCTACATGTTTATTTAAAGCAAACTGTTTTTTTCAAAAACAACAACACTTTTCCGATCTGCTTAGTGTCATGTTGTGTTTCCTTGGAGAAGTCACTCTTCTTACATGTTCTTTTTTGTAGGCTAAAGCTCTTATGGATAAACTTCAGAAGACTGTATCATCTGAGGGAAGGTTTAAAAATCTCAGAGAAACACTCAAGAAGTAAGTCCAAATTGCATATTTTGTAGTTCTGGTAAAGTTTTCCAACCAGTGTATTAATCCATTATCTCTCTGTCTTTGAAAATTCCTGGAGAACAGGGAAGTCTATGCAGACTAAAGGTGGGCAATATATATCTTCTCTCTTCAAAAAGGTAAGGTAGGGGAGAACTGACATAGATATCATTTAGTCTGATGTCAATACCAATAAAAATCCTGGAAAAAATAGTTAAAAAGCTGATTTGTGACCCCTTAAAAAAAGCATGCTATCATAAGAGTCAGTTTGGATTTCTTTTCTTTTTAAATAAATACATGCCAATCTATTTTCTCTCCCCCTTTATTTCTCTTTCTAATTTAAAATAGAATTGTAAGTTTGGTAGAGCAGTGGAAAGCTCTTAATATGGTGCATGTGCTTTTGGTTGGGCTTTTCATAGAGTTAACAATTATATTCTTCCTGATAAACTGAAAAAAATATGTCCTTTCTTTATCTTTGGCATCTTTTGAAAAAGAATATGATGTCTTTGCCTATTTCCTTATGTATTTTGTCTTCAATGGGAGTGTAGCTCTGCAATGAAGAATAATATCAACTCTTTATTAATAAATGAAAAACGGATTGTGATACACACACACACACTCTCTCTCTCACACACACACACATACACAAGGAGGAGCAGCATTGAAGGGAAGCCAGGATGCAGGTTAACCTACAGGGAAACTAGTTTCAGATTGTTGTTGTTGTTTATTCGTTCAGTTGCTTCTGACTTTTCGTGACCTCATGGACCAGCCCAAGCCTTTGTCAACCGTCGCCACCCCCAGCTCCTTCAGAGTCAAGCCCCAGCCACTTCAAGGATGCCATCCATCCATCTTGCCCTTGGTCAGCCCCTTTTCCTTTTTCCTTCCATTTTCCCCAGCATTATTGTCTATCCTAAGCTTTCCTTTCTTCTCACGATGGGGCTGAAGTACTTCATCTTTGCCTCTAATATCCTTCCTCCAGTGAGCAGTCAGGCTTTATTTCCTGAAGTATGGACTGGTTGGATCTTCTCAAGGTCCAAAGCACTCTCAGAATTTTCCTCCAGCGCCACAGTTCAAAAGCATCTATCTTCCTTCGCTCAGCCTTCCCTATGGTCCAGCTCTCACATCCGTAGGTTGCTATGGGGAATACCATTGCTTTCACTATGCCGATCTTTGTTGCCAGTGTGATGTCTCTACTCTTCACTATTTTATCGAGATTGGTCATTGCTCTCCTCCCAAGAAGTAAACATCTTCTGATTTCCTGGCTGCAGTCTGAATATGCAGTAATCTTTGCGCCTAGAAATACAAAGTCTGTCACTGCCTCCACATTTTCTCCCTCTATTTGCCAGTTATCAATCAGTCTGGTTGCCATAATCTTGGTTTTTTGATGTTTAATTGCAACCCAGCTTTTGCACTTTCTTCTTTCACCTTGATTAGAAGGCTCCTCACTTTCAGCCATCAAAGTGGTATCTGCATATCTGAGGATGTTAATGTTTCTTCCAGCAATTTAACTCCAGCCTTGGATTTGTCAAGCCCTGCACATTGCATGATGTGTTCTGCATACAAGTTGAATAGGTCAGGTGAGAGTATCCAGCCCTGTCGTACTCCTTTCCCAATCTTGAACCGCCTGTTGTTCCATGGTCAGTTCTTACTGTTGTTACTTGGTACTTATACAGATTCCCCAGGAGACAGACAAGGAGGCTTGGTATCCCCATACCACCAAGAACTTGCCACAATTTATTATGATCCACACAGTCAGAGGCTTTAAAATAGTAAACTTAGTAATACTTAGAACAGACCCATTTAAATCAATGAGATTTAAGTTAATCATGATTAGCCTAAGTCCCTTTGATGTCAGTGGGTCTATTCTAAGTATGACCAAATTTGTATCCAATTTATTCATTTCTGCTAAAACGAATTCACTTTTTCACTTTCCTCTTCAAAAAATCTTATTGTTATTTGAGATTTACAATAAGCAAGGATGCATCTACAGTGTAGAATTAATGCAGTTTGACACCACTTTAAATGCCATGGCTCAGTGATGTGGAATCAAGGGCTTTTTAATTTAACAAGGACTTTAACATTTCTACCAAAGAGTGCTGGTGCTTCACTAAATAGCAAATCCCAAGAGTCCGTAGAACTAAACCCAGACAGTTAAAGTGGTGTCAAACTGCATTAATTTGATAGTGTAGAGGCAGACCAAGAAATCTGCAGATTTGCTTTGATTCCATTATATCTTTACGTGAAAGTTCTGCGGAATAATCTTTACAAAGTTCCATTCCTTTTTGATAGAATTTATAGCACAGCTCTTCTAAAATGAATGGAAAGTATACAATTGACAAAGAGTATACTCCAGCAAAGGATCACCGCCTTGTCGGGGCGCTGGAGCTTGAGCACCTCAATGATGTCATGAGCGAAACCGTGAAGGGCCACCCAAGACGGGACGGTTGTGGCAGAGAGGTCAGACCAAGCGTGATCCCTGGGGAAGGCAATGGCAAACCACTCCAGTATCCTTGCCAAGAAAACTAAATGGACCAGTACAACCAGAGATATGTCGGTATGCCATTGGAAGATGGGACTCCCAGGTCGGAAGATGGCCAAAATGCTACTGGGGAGGAGCAGAGGATAAGTTCAACTAGCCCCAGATGTGATGACGCAGCTAGCTCAAAGCCGAAAGGAAGGCTAGCGGCCGACGGTACTGGAGGTGAACGACGAATCCGCTGCTCTAAAGATCAACACACCATAGGAACCTGGAATGTAAGATCTATGAGCCAGGGCAAATTGGATGTTGTTATTGGTGAGATGTCAAGACTAAAGATAGACATTCTGGGGGTCAGCGAACTGAAATGGACTGGAATGGGCCACTTCACATCAGATGACCACCAGATCTACTACTGCGGACAAGAGGAACATCGAAGAAATGGAGTAGCCTTCATAATTAATAAGAAATTCGCTAAAGCAGTGCTTGGATACAACCCAAAAAATGACAGAATGATCTCAATTCGAGTGCAAGGAAAGCCTTTCAACATTACAGTGATCCAAATATACATGCCCCAACCACAGCTGCTGAAGAAGCAGAAGTAGATCAGTTCTATGAGGATCTGCAGGACCTACTGGATAATACACCAAAAAGAGACATTATTTTCATTACAGGAGACTGGAATGCCAAGGTGGGAAGTCAAATGACAACAGGGATCACAGGCAAGCATGGTCTGGGAGAACAAAATGAAGCGGGACGCAGGCTGATAGAATTTTGCCAGGAAAACTCGCTGTGTATAACGAATACTCTCTTCCAACAACCTAAAAGACGGCTTTATACATGGACCTCACCAGATGGTCAACACCGAAATCAGATTGACTACATCCTTTGCAGCCAAAGGTGGCAGACATCCATCCAGTCGGTGAAAACAAGACCTGGGGCTGACTGTAGCTCAGATCACGAACTTCTTATTGCCCAATTTAGAATAAAACTAAAGAGATCAGGGAAAATACACAGACCAGTTAGATATGATATCACTAACATTCCTAGCGAATATACAGTGGAAGTGAAGAACAGATTTGAAGGACTAGATTTAGTAAACAGAGTCCCAGAAGAACTATGGACAGAAGTCCGCGACATTGTTCAGGAGGCGGCAACAAAGTACGTTACAAAGAAAAAGAAAACCAAGAAGGCAAAATGGTTGTCTGCTGAGACACTGGAAGTAGCCCAAGAAAGGAGGAAAGCAAAAGGAAACAGGGATAAGGGGAGATATGCCCAGTTAAATGCGCAATTCCAGAGGTTAGCCAGAAGAGATAAGGAACTATTTTTAAATAAGCAATGCATGGAAGGGAGGAAGACAACAGAATAGGAAGGACAAGAGACCTCTTCCAGAAAATTAGAAACATTGGAGGTAAATTTCAGGCAAAAATTGGTATGATAAGAAACAAAGATGGCAGGGACCTAACAGAAGCTGAAGAGATCAAGAGAAGGTGGCGAGACTATACAGAAGATCTGTATAGGAAGGATAATAATATTGAGGATAGTTATGACGGTGTGGTGAATGAATTAGAACAAGACATCCTGAGGAGTGAGGTTGAATGGGCCTTAAGAAGCATTGCTAACAACAAGGCAGCAGGAGACGACGGGATCCCAGCTGAACTGTTTAAAATCTTAAAAGATGATGCTGTCAAGGTGATGCATGCCATCCAGCAAATATGGAAAACACAAGAATGGCCATCAGACTGGAAAAATCAACTTATATCCCCATACCAAAAAAGGGAAATGAGAAAGACTGCTCAAACTTCCGTACAGTGGCCCTTATTTCTCATGCCAGTAAGGTAATGCTCAAGATCCTGCAAGGAAGACTCCAGCAATACATGGAGCGAGAGTTGCCAGATGTTCAAGCTGGGTTTAGAAAAGGCAGAGGAACGAGAGACCAGATTGCCAATATCCGCTGGATAATGGAGAAAGGCAGGGAGTTTCAGAAAAACATCCTGCTTCATTGACTATTCTAAAGCCTTTGACTGTGTGGATCATAATAAATTGTGGCAAGTTCTTGGTGGGATGGGCATACCAAGCCACCTTGTCTCTCTCCTGAGGAATCTGTACAAGGACCAAGTAGCAACAGTCAGAACTGACCACGGAACAACAGACTGGTTCAAGATTGGGAAAGGCGTACGGCAAGGCTGCATACTCTCACCCAACCCTTTTTAACTTGTATGCAGAACACATCATGCGAGGATGTGCGGGGCTTGATGAATGCAAAGCTGGGGTGAAAATTGCTGGAAGAAACATTAACAACCTCAGATATGCAGATGACACCACTCTGATGGCCGAAAGCGAGGAGGAGCTGAGGAGCCTTCTAATCAAGGTGAAAGAAGAAAGCGCAAACGCCGGGTTGCAGCTAAACGTCAAAAAAACCAAGATTATGGCAACAAGAATGATTGACAACTGGAAAATAGAGGGAGAAACCGTGGAGGCCGTGACAGACTTTGTATTTCTAGGTGCAAAGATTACTGCAGATGCAGACTGTGGCCAGGAAATCAGAAGACGCTTACTTCTTGGGAGGAGAGCAATGTCCAGTCTCGATAAATAGTGAAGAGTAGAGACATCAGACTGGCAACAAAGATCCGCCTAGTCAAAGCCATGGTATTCCCTGTAGTAACCTACGGATGTGAGAGCTGGACCTTAGGGAAGGCTGAGCGAAGGAAGATCGATGCTTTTGAACTGTGGTGTTGGAGGAAAGTCTGAGAGTGCCTTGGACTGCGAGAAGATCCAACCAGTCCATCCTCCAGGAAATAAAGCCCGACTGCTCACTGGAGGGAAGGATACTAGAGACAAAGTTGAAGTATTTTGGCCACATCATGAGGAGACAGGAAAGCCTAGAGAAGACAATTATGCTGGGGAAAGTGGAAGGCAAAAGGAAGAGGGACTGACCAAGGCAAGATGGATGGATGGCATCCTTGAAGTGACTGGACTGACCTTGAAGGAGCTGGGGGTGGTAACGGCCGACAGGGAGCTCTGGCGTAGGCTGGTCCATGAGGTCACGAAGAGTCGGAGACGACTGAACGAATGAACAACAATACTTTGTCAATTTTACAAGGGTTGGCATTTCGCTTAAATACACAGTGATTAGAGTCCATAAATGATGGACTCTATAATTTAATAGCCTTAGAATATCAAGGAAATTTATTGAATTATTTTCTTTTCCTGACCATCAAGTCATCAAGGTGTGTTCAAATATCAGTATCCAGTTGGTCCTACTACTTTTTCTGGATAGGCTGTAGGCACAGAAGGCACGTTTCCCTAATAGAATAATAGGGTTGGCAGGGGATTTGATTAGATGGCCCATAATAATAGAATAACATGGGCCATCTAATCAAATCCCCTGCCAAGCAGGAAAAGTACCCCCAACAGATGGCCATCCAAAGTAGCAGAAAACAACACACCTAACTTCCTTTCAAATATTTATATATGGTGATCATGTCTCCTCTCAGCCTTCTCTTCTACAGGCTAAACATACCCAGCTCTTTAAGCCACTTCTCATAGGGCATGGTCTCCAGACCTTTGATCATTTTAGTTGCACTCCTCTGGACACTTTCCAGTTGTCAGTTGAACTGTTTCTTGAATTGTGTTGCCCAGAATAGGACACAGTATTCCAGGTGAGGTTTGACCAAAGCCGAATACAGAGGCATCATGACTTCCTTGGATCGAGACACTATACTCCTTTTGATGCAGCACAAAATCCCATTGGCTTTTTAAGTTGCTGCATCACACTGTTGGCTCATGTTCAACTTGTTGGCCACAGGAGTCACCCATCCCGTATCTTTGCTTTTTTTTTTCTGCCGAAGTACAGTATCTTACATTTGTCCTTGTTGAAATTCCTTTTGTTAGTTTTGGCCCAGCTCTCCAATCTGTTGAGGTCATTTTGAATTCTGATCCTGTCCTCTGGAGTATTAGCTATTCCTCTTAGTTTGGTGTCATCTGCAAACTTGACAAGCATGCCCTCTAAACCTTCATCTAAGTCATTAATAAACATGTTGAACAGCACCAGGTCCAGGACAGAAGTCTCCTTATGTCACTTTTTTCCAGAATGAAGAGGAAACATTGGTGAGCATCCTTTGGCTTCAGTTGCTCAACCAATTACAGATCCACCTAATAGTAGTTTTGCCTCACCCACATTTGGAAGATCATGGGGGACTTAGTTGAAGGCCTCACTAAAATCTGTTTTCTTTTTCTTCCTTTTTCTACTGACATACTCTAACAACCCCTTTTTATTGTTTTAAATCTCTTTGGCAAGTTTGAGCTCATTTTCCTCTTTAGTCTTTTGGACCTTTTCCCTATATGTGTTGTTTGAATTCCTCTTTGGTGATCTCCTACCCCTTTCCATTTCTTGTATATGTCCCTTTTAAATCTTATCTCAGTTGAAAATTCTCTGGAAATCCATTCTGGTTGTTTTACACTTCTCTTATTTTTTCTTCTTGTTGACACTGTTAGCATTTGTGCCTTCAATATCTCACTTTTAGGAAACTCCCATCCACCATTAACTCCCTTCTCTTTAAGCATTCCTATCCATGGGATCACACTCAGTATTTTCCTGTTTCCTGAAGTCAGCTTTCCTAAAATCTAGAATGGATGGCTGACTTCTCTTAATTTCCTCATTCTTCTGTATCACGAACTCCAAGAGCACATGGTCACTCCCACTAAGGATCCCACCACTTCTACTCCATTTACTAGTGTCCTATTTTGCTCCAGAAACAGACTTACAACAAGGGTTAAAGCATCTAAAAAAGCTTTACTTCAACAAAATGATACTACTCTTAACAAACAGCAGCAAAGGAACAAAAGGAAAATCCCAAAAGCAAAACAAAAGTCTTACAGCAGACATCAAACCAAAGCCTTTGTCCAAAAGTCTTTGCGAGGCACTTCCTGGAGCTGCAAACAAGGAAGCACTGAAGCACTGAGTAGAATAGTTGCTGCCAGCATTGACCTCTGCTTTACTGCTGATTTAAAGCCCTCAGCTCCCAGCACAGGTGTTCCTAGTGTGAGGTCTGATTGCTCAGCATCCTTGCAGCAATTCTAGCTGACTTTCTCCTTTGTTCTTTTGCTCTTCGGCGTTCCTGAAAGGTAGGAAGTTTTCCTGGCCCTCTTCTTCTCAGCATGTGGCCCCAAATCCCCAACTCCTATATCTTCAGCCTCCTGTTCTACCTCCTCCTCCTGAGAAGAGGAGTACACAACAACTAGGTCCTCAGAGTTGGTTAGGATCAGTAGAGGTCTTGTAACAAGAGAGCAGTATGCTCCTTGAAAACAGGCACTATTTTACAATCTGGCTATAAATTTTTGGAGAGCTGCAGTTTACAAAAATTATTCATAAACAATCCCACATAGAGTGTTGCAATAATCCAAACAAGATGTAAATTAACTCCCTGTGACCAGATCAGAAATGTTAACTGTGTCAGTGCATTTGGTCATCCTGGATTCAGGCTGAGGAATACACTCAAATTGTGAGCCTGCATCAGTTAATCCAGTTAACCAGAAGCATTCCTAGTGGATCAAAAGATCAGGATATAGCAGTTCAGCCTAGAAATGATTCCATTAAGTCCCATCCTAGTAAGCTGGATAATGTCAATAGTTTGAGGGCTTAGAGATACAGCAGAACCAAGAGGAACACATTCACCTGTGCAGTTCCTGATGTAGGTCATCTACCAAGCTGACCAAAGCTACTTGCTTCCCATAAGTGGGCTTGAATCCATATTCAGATAGTTCTACAGAAATTACAGTTTATCATCAATCTATATTTAGATTAATTCAAGATGAATAAATGTTATCTTAAAGTGCAATCCTATTGCATACATGTTAAAGAATTTCATAAGGCACAGTGGAATTCATTTCCAAGAATTGCACTGCATGTTATTTTAAAGACTGAGCTGTTTGTTGTGCCAAAACAGTCCATAAACAGTAAAGGCTATACAGTAATAAAAGCTAATATTTCTTGTCATGCAGCTGTAATCCCCCTTCCGTACCATATCTCGGGATGTACCTAACAGACCTGGCATTTATTGAAGAAGGAACACCAAATTTTACTGAAGAAGGCCTTGTTAATTTTTCCAAAATGAGAATGGTAATTCTTCCATGGTTTTTCTTTCTTTCTTTTCATATTTATAGTTTATTATATACGTGCTGCATTTCCAAGGTGTATTATTGGCAGATATTAAGAAGCAACTGCTTGTTTTGCATCCAGGTTCAGCGTTCTATCACCACCTGCTGGTGGATTTCATATTATCACTACAGATTGAGGATCTCTTATATAAAGTGCTTGGGAACAGATGTGTTTTGAATTTTCCTGATTTTCCCACCCTTGGAATGACTGCATTTGCATATATGTACATAATGGAGATGGGACCCAAGTCTAAACACAAAAATTATTTATCTTTCATATATATCTTATACACAATATTTCTAAGAACTTTGTTCATAAAGCGAGGTTTTATACATTGAACTTCTGGAAAGTCACATAATTCCTAACCCCGTTATACTCACTCATCTGGGAGGAAGCTGCCTTAAATTCAGTACCACTGACTTCTGAGTAGACATGCATAAGATTGCTCCTGCAACATTATTATTTTTGGGAAGAAGTTAAACCACTTTCCTTGTTGCATTCACAATGTATCATAAAACAATAGGTGAATAATTTGGGCAAAATGACCCAAGTGGAAGTGAACTTGAATTGTCACTGAAACAACATTGGTACCAGGAAAAAAATTCTTGTTTAGTCCTAGATTTGGATCCTATATATTTTTTTCTGTCTACTTTGGTGGGCAGTTGATTTCTGCAAGTTCCCAATTTAAATACAAAACCTCCATAATATATCCAATGCAATTCCCATTTATCTCTTGATCTAAAAGCAAAAGTTAGTTCATAGGAAGTCAAGCTAAAATCCAAGTCTGTCTGTCAGTCCATTTATGCAATGAAATAAAAGACGTATTTATGTCTGTTTCTTTAAAAGATATCACATATAATCAGGGAAATACGGCAGTTCCAACAAACGTCTTATCGCATAGATCATCAACCAAAGGTACAATATTTTCATCTCTTCTTTTGCAGTACTTTTGAATATTTTGAGTATTTGTGCCAGTGTTTTGGTTTTTTTTTTTTACTATTAGAAAGAAGGAGGAGATGTGGTGTAATTTGTGTTTAAGATGTGTACAAAGTATTTTTTAGAAAGGATTGTGAGCTTTGGACTTGCGATCTCTTCATGCAACCTCAATCACGGGTGGCAAAGAAAGCACACAAGGTGGCTCATTGCACCCCACGTGCCCTCCCTCCTCCCGTCATCACGCAAAAGGGACGGGAGAGGCTGCTTTGGCACCCTTTCCCTCCCCTAGTCAGATGGCAGAAAGGGCAGTAACGCATATTGCCCAGCTGTCTTTTCTGCCATCACATGGCAAAAAGGGGAGGAAAGTGTGGGTAGCTCCGTTGGAGATACCCAAACTACACTTTCCCCTCTGTAGTGGAGAAGAAAGTGCCTTTGGGAGGAGTGTGATGGGGCCTGCTGTGCATCATGTGATGGTGCACGGCAGGCCCCATCCTTGCCACAATTAAAAGCCTCATGTGAAGAAGCCCCTAATGTCATTTGTTCAATCAGGACTTCATTTAAAAATTTGTATCCCTTAAATCAGTGCTTCTCAACCTGGGGTCCCCAGATGTTTTTGGCCTACAACTCCCAAAAATCCCAGCTAGTTTACCAGCTGTTAGGATTTCTGGGAGTTGAAGGCCAAAAACATCTGGGGACCCCAGGTTGAGAACCACTGCCATAAATGATTCCTCCAAAGCAGAAGTTGTATACAGTATGGTTCCTGTAGCCATGGGATATGTCCTAGACTTCATATGCAAAACTATGGATACTAGTGCAGTGTATCTCCAAAAATTGACTTCCAAGAATACCATAGAGTTGTGTTAGAGCAGTGGTTCTCAACCTGTGGCTCCCAGGTGTTTTGGCCTACAACTCCGAGAAATCCCAGCCAGTTTGAAGTTGAAGGCCAAAACATCTGGGGACCCACAGGCTGAAAACCCTGTGCTAGAGGATCTGGAAAGCACCTAGCAAATTATATATTTTGTTGGATATGGTAAATGAAAATATGGGTCCTGAAAAAAATGCAGGTTGTACTGTATTCCCATCTAACGTGTGTTCCTACCACTGCTTTCATAAAACAGACTTGCATCTTTTCAAACTAAAACTCTCTTGCTTTTTGACAAGAAGGCAGATTTAATTATTTAGGAAAAAATCAGTTGAATCCAAGGATATACATGGTCTTTCCACTGTTACATAAAAATTGTTTCCTGTTCTTGTTCTTCCAGGTCACTCAGTACTTACTTGACAAGAGTCTCATCATAGATGAAGACACTTTGTATGAACTATCTCTGAAGATTGAACCCAGACTGCCTGCCTGAAAAACCAGTTTTGTTCTTCATCCCACAGAGAACTTTAGTGTAATGGAAAAATTATGCATGGCATGTCCCCTAAACAATGCAAGGGGGAAACGCTGAGAAGAATTCAAGTTCCCTTTGCCATTAAGGGACACAGAGTCTCACTGAGATTCCTTTTCAGGCAGAGATGAAGCTGTTGGAGGTGCAAGTCCAAAAGATTACCAACCAAGGTTGAATGCTTTTGCTTTGTAAAGGAAATGTTTCATGAAAGAAAGACTGGGGGCTAAGAAAAATATAAGGAACATTGGTAAGAATTGTACTGAACCTGTCAAAGGGCAAAATGAAATATAGGGACCATTTTCCCTTAGATGATAATAAATGAAGAAAGCAAATGTAAAAGAGAGAAGCTTCTCCACTCTGCTTGGACAAAACACATGATCCATAATGAGCATGAAAGCATCTATGTATTTTGACGCTATTTGCATTTGGTGGTATCCATTGTAAACAATAAGCATTTAAAAGTATTTTTTCCTGTATAATGTGATCTTTAACAACACCAAGGCTTTTGCTTTCTAAACGGCTTGTTTTAATTGAAAATGTCTCCTTCGTAAATTCATCACAGTATGTCTCCAATTTCAAAAATGGATAGAAATGGATGGAAACATTGGTGACATATAGCCAGCTAAATACTGTAAATAGTTTTTTCATCTAGGAGGCCCATGCATAAATTGCCTTTTATGGTGTCAAAGATACAAGCCTAGGTGGGATTTTTAAGTTCAATGCTTGCATTTCATAGCAGAATATGGCACTGTAATAGATTAATTCCATTAGTATTTTGCACCTTGTTTGCATCAACAACATTATTCCAGCAACCTTTGTTTAAAATGCATGCTGTAATTCAGAGCATTGTGTGAGCTCCAGGGCAACTTTATGGCACCTTACATGATGGCCAGGATTCTTTCCTTTACTTAGGAAAGCAATTTCAGACAAGTATCTTGGTATTAACACTACACCTCCATGTTCATGGAAGCCAGTGAGGAACCTTCACCTGTGCGCCAGCATCAAAGCCTAGTCACTGCCCATTAGTAATAATAGTTGTCATGGTAGTACATATGCCTTTGATTTTTTATTAAAAGTACTTAGAACTATTTTTCAAGGTTTATACTTTGTTAAGCTTAGTTGTCATGCTTAAATATTACACAGCATGACCACTACCCGTTGCACTGTGATGTGCGCTGAAGTGCAATAGAGCCTCACATTATGGTACACTAAACTGTGACAAATATTTCTCTCTGTGCGTATGTGCGTATACATGGGCATGACTCCAATGTCAATTTAAATGTAGTATCTGCATCCACTGTGGTCTCTGATCCAAGAGCCTGCATGTAAGCATTTGCTCTGGTGTGCACATGAGCTGGGATTGCCCCACTTTCTTGGAGTGAGAGTACATTTCCAAACAATGTGTAAGCTCTTGCTTGCATAATGTGGCATGCACATGTAACTCTTTCTAAGTTCTGTGGGGCCAACTATAATTGAATATTGTAAACACAGTCATTTTTTTCATGTCAGGAGCGACTTGAGAAACTGCAAGTCACTTCTGGTGTGAGAAAATTAGCCATCTGCAAGGAAGTTGCCCAGGGGATACCCAAATGTTTTTGGTGTTTTACCATCCTTGTGGGAGTCTTCTCTTATGTCCCCGCATGGGGAACTGGAGCTAACAGACCTGTGTGTGTGTGTGTGTGTGTGTATTCAACAGTATATCAAATTATATATTAAATTTGGCATGCATATGCACTTTCCCAAAATTTCTAAGCATCCACTGAGGTGTCAGTGCAGCCCTCAATACCAGGAGTGTTTGATCTTTAAATCCTAAGAGAAAGATATCAAACAGGAGACAACAAATTATGGAAATGGGTTGTTGTAGGTTTTTTTGGGCTATATGGCCATGTTCTAGAGGACATGACCATATAGCCCAAAAAAACCTACAACAACCCAGTAACTCCAGCCATGAAAGCCTTCGACGATAATTTATGGAAATTCCACTATAAGGAATGTATCATTTTATTCCTTCCTTAAATATAGAATGGAAGATACTGTGGCCTTATTCAAGGTGAAAAGGGCCTCCTCCTTCTCCCTAGCAATTGCAGCTCCTCTCCAGGGAGAACTGGAGTAAGTACAGGGTTTCCTTACACAAGGAGTTGCAGACACTGGAACTCAGATACAAGTCTCAGACCACACCTGTGACCTTGTAGGAATTACAAATTCTTTGGCTCAATAAAAAGTTCCTCCCACCCATAATGATTCTTTCAGAGACCAAAATATGGAGGAGAATCCCAGAAAAGATGAAATCCAAGAAGAAGAATGTATTTATATTTGTACTGCAATCAGGGGAACAGAAAAACACATAAGTTGATCTGTCTTGTGATCTTTACTACTAGCCTTTTTTCTTTGTGACTCCAGATTAAGTACTTTAATGTTTTAAGATACATGTGATCACTCTTATGAAATGTGAGATTTCCTGCATGGAAAGTGATCACAAACATAACCGCGAAGACGGAAAGCCGATCGCACTATTGAACAACTAGGCTGGAAAAGTGCCTTTACTTTTCCAATCCTTATCAGACTGCTGACAAAATAGGGCTAAACAATATCATTAGTTACCTCCCGTTTAACCCTCTCAGGGAGACAATTGTTTTTAAAGAATTGGCATATTTGAGCTGATATTTCTTACCAGTCTAACTAAGCTGCTAAATCCTAACAACTGTGGAAAAATCTGCCTAGCTTTTGTTTTTTGTGTGTGTTTCCGTGCACTTTAATTATATTACCAGTCCAGACAAAAGCTGGACAATAAAATCAATTGTTTGTCTCACTATAAATTATATGTCAGTAGTAAATTTTTACAATTCTATTTATTAAGGGCCTATTTTTGCAAACAAATGCACGAATCAATATCAAATAAGTCTCAAAAATTCTATGATTAGGGGAAAAAAGAGTAAAAAAATAGAAAACCCCTAGGGCATGTTTAAGTACTTCTGGTTAATGAATATGGTAGAAGTGAACATAAAGAATATTATTTATAGATGCTTGTTTATCATTATAGTTCAAACTGCTTGTTCTTTTCATTAATTTTCACCAAAGATAATGACTGCATCCTGACGCATGATAAATAGTAGCATGGATTATTTGGACCAAATTGCTAATTTACTGCTTATTCTCAGTGTGTTTGAAATGTTTTTTTAAAAGATGGCGTATGTCAGATATTGAACAAAGTGACACTAATCTCAGAAGCAGTACTTTTTTTTAACTTGTCTCTTTCTTTGTTCGTATTTTACAGAAACTAGCCCTTTATCACAAAAATCTATACAGCATAAGAATTCATTCGTGGGCTTTATTTGTGATGTATTGTTGTTGGTTGGTTATTTATTGTTTGAATTGTATTTCATTTTACAGTATCAGCTTTGTACTTTGGGATGGGGGCCCGTTGCTATTCCTCGTATTGAAGTGCTGCAGAAGGTGCATTTATCTGTCTTTAACCTATTTATTTTACAACTTTCATTAAAATATAGATTCATACTATTACTTTGTAGTCCTTATTGTCAATAGCTGGCCTCTTCATTTTAAAATCTTTAGTGAACCTGAACCAAACTTTACCACTGCAGTCCAAAAGCAGCAAGTCATGTGTAGAAACAGAAAGAAAGGCAAATAACACAAAAATTGGGACATAAATACAAAAAACCAGCAGTTTATAGCAAGTGTGGCGGAATGAAAAACCATATGTAATTCATGTCTTTACCAATCCATACATGTCTTGTTAGAGAAAGGATATGCCATGCAAATGATCAGTAAATAATGTGTTTACTCTTTTGTAATGCAGAGCAACATTCATGAGAACAGTTGAGAACAGTTACATTCATGAGAACAGTTGCACTGACTCACACGGTGTCCTCTGAGAGATTCAAAATGATCCATAGATGTCCATGTGAAAGATATCCTTTGAGCAGCTAAGAAGCAGAAATATTGACTTTGTTGGCTCCTGCACAGAAAACTCAAACATGTAACTGTTGCCAAAACTCCCAGGCTCAGCTGGTGAGTGTGTTAACTGGACATGGCCCACCAATCAGCTTCGTGCTTTGCGTTTTTCAGTTAACACACTCACCAACTGATTTTTATATGTGACAACAGCAAAGAGTAGCTAGAAATTCTTCCTCAATCAACTAGCAGACAGTGACCTTCTTGCATCATCCTAAAATCACAAATTAAGTTTACTAAAAATAAATTTTATATATATATATATATATATATATATATATATATATATATATATGATCAAGATCTTCCTTCTGTTGTGCATTCAATGAATGATGGCTTTCCATAAAATCATACAACTGCATATGTATACAATAAGATGTAGAAACAATGGTGTATTATTTAAGTAGAAATACAGTATGATGCACCAGAGAGTGATATGCCCTAAGTGGATGTCTTGTCCACTCTAGGTGGGCACTCTCCAGGCACCTTTCCCCGATTGCTTTAGCTTTAAACTAGATGTTGATATAGTCCTTCAAGTAGATGACTTCTCTGTAATACAGGGCACTTTAGTTTACAGTTACAAGTATCTGTGGGAATAGAATGGAATACTAGGTGGACCTTTGGTGTAACCCAAGCATGGGCAAACTTCGCCCCTCCAGGTGTTTTGGACTTCAACTCTCACAATTCCTAACAGCCTCGGGCCCTTTCCTTCCCCCTCAGCCACTTAAGTTTCAACCAGAGAAATCAGCCATAGCAGAGCACCTGATGAACCAACCTGGACACAGCATATTATTTGAGAACACAGAAATGCTGGATCACTCTAACAACTACATGTCAGGCTACACAGAGAAGCCATTGAAATCTACAAGCACTTAGACAATTTCAACAGAAAGGAGGAAACCATGAAAATTAACAAAATCTGGCTACCAGTGTTGAAAAAAACCTCTAAAATTATAACAGTAAATAAAGACAGGGAGCTCCAGACAAGAAACAATCAGGGACAGCTAATCACCTCTCAATAAAGGATTCCCCCAGGCAGTAAGAAACCAGAACTTAATTAAATGCTAATTCAGGTGGCCAATTGAAACATTCACACCTAGCTCCAACAGACAAGAGTTCTTTCTCGCATCCTAGACTTTCCAGATAAACCCCATTTTCCTAGTTTCCAACACACCTCACAACCTCTGTGGATGCCTGCCATAGATGCAGGTGAAACATCAGGAGAGAATGCTTCTGGAACATGGCCATACAGCCCGAAAAACTTACAGCAACCCACAACCTACTACCCTTGATAATTAAATCTTTAACATTGAACAGAATGCTACAGTAATACTGAGGCGAGGTCTCCCCTAACTCTTCTATTTTAACTACACCAATTGTGCCACACCAATTGCTCACAGCGGACTGCTGAATGGTTAATGTTTTTCCTTTGAGGACCAGCGTGTAATAGCCATCTAACCACTCAAAACAGCTACTCTGGGCAGTCTTTTGCAAATGCAATGCTGGCAGGAAAAAATTATTTATCTGCTGCCTTTGTTGCAGTGGAAAGACTTTCAAATGTTCTAGCTCATGCTCTGTCATATTCACTTGGAGAAGAGGTCCTCAGACTAAGGCCAGAGGGCCAGGGCCCCCAAGGTCATTTACCCGGCCCTTGCTCAGGGTCAGCCTAAGTCTGAAATGACTTGAAAGCACACAACAACACCAATAATAATCCTATCTCATCAGCCAAAAGTAGGCCCACACTTCCCCTTGAAATACTAATAAGTTTATATTTGTTGAAATTATTATTCATTTTAATTATTGTATTGTTTTAAAGTGTTTTGCACTACAAATAAGATATGTGCAGTGCGCATAGGAATTCATTCATGCTTTTTTCAAATTATAATCCGGCCCTCCAACAGTTTGAGGGACTTTGACCTGGCCCTCTTTTTAAAAAGTTTGAGGACCCCTGGCTTAGAGTCTTCCACCAACATGGCTCTAGTCTTTGTCTCACTTGCTTCATTGCCATCAAGTCCTTGGAAAACCTGGGGGCTGGTTTGGCTCTGCTCCATAAGAAGGGACACTCAGGACTGTCTGTGTCCATTGCCCTCGCCATTTCCCCACTCCAGAGGTCAGCCAGAGCTTTGACAGAATTGCTTGGGAGGTGACAGGAAAATCCCCAAGAGCCAACAGGAATCCATCCAGATCCATCAGCTTAATTGGCCCAACACCACTGCAGAGGTTTTGAGTCCCAGTCAGTCTAAATCTGACCAGATAATGATCAGTCCATGACAACGGAACTGTGGAAAGTTCCTGCACACTACAATCACCATCACCCCAACCTGGACAGAAAACAAGGTCCGGCAGTGAGAGTAGGACCAGATATCATTTGGAACAGATCCATGGTAGCCATGGAGGCCTGAGCCACTCCTGACAGGGCAGTCTCAGCATTGATGTTGAAGTCTCCCAGCGCTAATATGGTAATTCATTTTTTTAAGTCTCAGGAAAGTTTGAGTTCAGCTGAAAATGCGCTGCAGCAAATGCTAGTGGATCTCAGATCCATGGCAAAAACAGCTCTGCAAAATGTCAAGTGCATTGCTGACATTTGCCCCTGGTGATGCACAGTAAAGAATCCCAAACTCTGGCTGCTGAAAAAGACCCAAGAGGATGGCTGGGAGGGGTAATCTATTACTTTCAGGGCTGACACTTTCCACTTTTTTTTACCCCATACACCTCTGGTGTACCGATGCACATCTCTCCCAGAAAAGGGGGGAAAACCCCATTACATATAATAACCCAGGCCAATGTAATCAGCCCCCCCCCACCTCAAACTGGTCTGATCACCAGCTCAGTAAAACCAGTTCCAAGTTGGATTATAGTTCAGAAGCACCCCCAGCTAAACGACACTTTCCTAAGCTTTTTGTTGCAATGTCAAACTTCCATCCAAGCTGGCTGACGATGAGAGATGGGAGAAATTTTGTCTCAAGTACCAAAAGGAAAAGAGTTTGGAGGAACATTGGGGCCAGCATTAAATATTTATTTAGGAGCAGAGACTTAAGGGTGCCACACTAGGACATCCTTGTTGCGTTCTCAAGGGCATGGCTATGTGACCAAAATGTGATCAAAGAGACCGGAGAGGAATGGGATTGGCTAATGGAAGTAGCACTTCTTCCCTTTCTTCCCCCACCCTCTCGTTTTGCTCCTCGTATGACCTGTAATTTTGTCGCAGCATAAACTGCTTGTTCACTTTACACTTCTTGGCTCCTGGGCTTGCAGGACGTGTCTGGCTTCAGCTTCAAGGTCAGTTGGACTCCCGTCTGTTTATTTGCCCTGGGAACTGACATTTGAAAGGGGAAAGTTATTTAAAATGTACTAAAAAATGCCAGAGATTGTAGCCTTTTGGGAGACAGGGCTTGCTGATTTGCATAAGTGCTCCAAACACCGACAGTGATATTTTGTCAGATCATACTGCTTCGGCTCCAAACAGTGATTCTGAAACAAATATGTTAAATATAGGAAAATAAAACCAGTCTTATGCAAATCGTAATAAACATTTTCTACAGGCAACCTGTTGAACAGACAGTTTTAAAATGTCAACCCTGTCCATAAACATCTTGTATTAATATGAGACGATAAAACATTGTTGTGGTGTCTTCTTTATTGTTGGAAAACAACCTTATATGACATTATTTGATTCCTGCCCAGAATTGTTTGTGTCTGAATTGCCCAGCATCTCAGATTTTACTGAAGAGCATTAGTAACTTGTGCACCTTGTTTTTCATTTTTCATTTAATCAACAATTGTTCTCTTAATTTAGTAAGAAACATTATAATCCCAGAGTTGTAAGCCCCTGTCCTCAGGTCTGCTCTCTCCTCTTCAAAGGCTTGTTGCCTTATTTCATTAGTCCATATATAAGAACATTTTGTACCAGAGAATTGTTGTTGCTTGCCTTCAAGTGTTTTCTAACTGATGGCGACTCCAAGATGGCTTATAACAACCTCATAACAGAGTTTTCTGGGCTGAGAGTTTGTGACTTTCTCAGGGTCATCGAATGGGTTTTCATGGCTGAGCAGAGAACTGAATCCCAATCTACAGATTTGTAGTCCAACAATCAAACCATAGGGTCCCCTGGTGGCACAGTGGGTTAAACCGCTGAGCTGCTGAACTTGCTGACTGAAAGGTTAGTGGTTTGAGTCAAGGGAATGGGGTAAGCTCCCACTGTTAGCCCTAGCTTCTGCCAATCTAGCGGTTTGTTAAGCTGCAGAACTTGCTGACGGAAGGTTGGCAGTTCAAATCTGTGAGATGGGGTGAGCTTGAATCTGTGAGATGAGTGAGCTCCCGTTGTTAGCCCCAGTTTCCGCCAACCAAGCAGTTTGAAAACATGCAAATGTGAGTAGATCAATAGGTACTGCTTCAGTGGGAAGGTAACAGCGCTCCACGCAGTCATGCTAGCCACATGACCTTGGAGATGTCTATGGACAACGCTGTCACTTCGGCTTAGAAATGGAGGTGAGCACCACCCCCCAGAGTTGGACACAACTACACGTAATGTCAGGGGAAAGCTTTACCTTTACCTTTACCTTAATCAAACCACTGGCACAATCCTCAAGTTGCTGTTCTAAATATACATATGCTTTATACAAAACAAGACTTAATATTTGGAAAACCTCATGCAGGATTGCACTGGAAAAACATCCCTTTGAGAAATGGTGACCCAGTCGTCATGCAATCAGGTCTGCCTCTCAACAGCAGAACCAGACAAATGAGCTTCCAGCCACCCATAACCTTTCCATGTACGTTTTAAGCCCAATAGGCCACGCAATGAATATTCCATTTGAATTGGGTTTTTATCACATACCAGACCATGTGCAAATAACTGGAGCAAATGGTTTTATCAGAGTGTGTGTTTCAAAAGTATATAGACTACATGCAGATTTGAACTAGTCTGTGCCATGCTACTTTGAATCATTAAATGATAATAACAGGGCAATGTGAAGGCCATTCTGTGTTCCTACATACATAATGTAATCGTATATTTTGAAATAAATTCCACTAGTTTCCATAGAGGCTTCCTTCCACATACAAAGATAACAGGATTGCTGCCTAAAATACTAGTAGATTACAATAATGCACAAATGGGATCCCTGAAATTACTTAAGTGACTAAATATTTCAGTTATATCAATTGTAGACAAGCATTGTGAACAAAAATAAAATTTAACGTTATGCATATAGGAACATTGCTCCCAGGGTGGTGTTTTAGTAGATACAATAACATAAAATAAAGCAGCAATTATTATATAATAATGGAGAAAATTATGTGTTTGAGTAGATCCTTACTATTTGTGGAATACACTGCTATTGTTGTTTTCCCTGGCGACAACTAAAAATGCAAATGTATTCATATGTTAATGTCTTCCTCTTTAAGTTATAATCATGAAGTTTCTGAGCAGATGCATAACATTTTTCTCCAACTTAACATACCTTGAAAAAAGGCACAAATCACAGAGTTCACATGATGCATTTCTATTCCTGTTATGACTGGTATGCAATCTACATCGTTTTATAAATGGCATCCTTCCTGCCCATAGATTTTGTTTCACCATAACAAGCAAAGCAGTCTAATGCCTGCGTGCACCTTCATATCAAGGCAAGAAGGAAATAAATGTAAAAGAAAAAGGGAACAATTTATTTAATTTCCCTACTTCATTCATTTCTCTTTTGGCAGGATTGCTTTTAGGCATCTCTAGCTTCAGTGGGTTAACACCTGACATGCAGTTTATAGATTCACTGGGCTTAATCTGACACCATGTGAACATGCAAGCCAAGAGAGCAACTGTCCCTGGAAAATGCTGCCAGTATGAGAGGTGACAACTCTAGGTCAGCTCCAAGCGACTTGGTGGAAGTAATAACAGGGAGTCTTTGCTGTTCCTAAATTGCAAATAAAAGATCTCAAGGCTCAGGAGTAGAAGAGAGCAGATCCTCCATTGGCAGTGGGGTTATAATTGTGCTGAGCAAACAGTGAGGAAGTGTCCTTTCAATGTTAAATGTTACAGGCTGAGCAAACCTAATATGAGAGGCTCATGTTACAGGACTTAGCACCAGTTGCTAAAAGCGAGTATACGACCTGATGCTAGTGAGCTCTGAACTGCCCTTCTTAATGAGGATAAAGCTGTTGGAGACGATATAGGCCAGAATCTGATATTACCTTATACTTTTTTTTCATGTCAGGAGCAACTTGAAAAATTGCAAATCACTTCTGGTGTGAGAGAATTGGCTATCTGAAAGGACATTGCCTGGGGGATTCCCAGATGTTTACCATCCTGTGGGAGGCTTCTCTCATGTCCCTGAATGGGAAGCTGGAGCTGTCAGACAGGAGCTCACCCTGCTACCTGGATTCGAACCACAACCTTTCGGTCAGCAGTTCAGCCAACACAAGGGTTTAACCCATTGTGCCACCAGGGGCTCTCATCACCTTATATTTAACTAATAGGCATGGGCAATCCATGGTTCTAAATGGTTCTACAGTACTTACCGAACTAGGGGGCACTGGTGCTTTGGCTCTACAGTGTTGCTAAAGTTCTGGTGGTGAAATGTTATAAATGACAGTTCCTAATTGGTTCTGTCATAAAAATCGCCAATAATAAAATAATGAAATTTTGAAATTTTCACCACTAGAACTTTAGCAACATTGTAGAAGCAAAGTACCAGTGCTCCCTAGTTTTGTAAGTACTGTAGAACCATTTAGAACCATGGATTGCCCATGCCTATTAACTGAGTACTGAAGTAAGTAACTTCTGATCTAACCCACTCCAAACATGGTGGAAACATCATTCAACCATGTTCTGACTTTCCAACAGACCTCTGAAGATGCCAACCACAAATGCAGGCAAAATGTCAGGAGAGAATGCTCTAGGAACATGGCCATACAACCCAAAAAACTCACAGCAACTCATGCTTTGACTGTTGGCAGAATGGCCCTCCTTCCTCTCATGTATCCAATGACTAGTAAAGAGGGTAGGAGGTTGAGTTACACTGAAGTAATAGTGTCAACAATGTGATTAAGTAACAGTCAGGAATATGAGTTACCTTATCATAACTGTTTCAAATTCACAATCATTACCTATTCATGATTCTGACACTATTGCCAACAATCATAACTCATAATTGCTGAAATATGTTTCTGTCAGATTTGGGTGAAGCTGGACCAGGAGAATTTACTTTGTTAATTGCTTAGTTGAGTATAAGTTGACACAGCATGCTGGCCATAGCGTATTTCTGTTTTTTAAAACATTTCCCTTCTCCCCAAGCAGCAAAACATTAAAGGAAGATGTACTAGCCTTTAAATTGCTTTGAGAAGAGAAAACATGTTATGGTGCATATAAGTGTGTGTTAGAGACAGGAGGATACACTTATTTATACAGCCAGAATCTATTTGAAGGAAACGAACTGCAAAAACAGACAACACAACTGCTAGCAAAGCAATAATTTTTGTAAAGGGTATCTGTACCCCAGGCTGCTCCCTCCGCTCCAATACTTTCTTCCAATACTTCTGTCCAAAGTCAGACAGCCAAAACCTGTGTGTCTGGCTTTCTGTCTAATTCTGTGCAGCCATCCTCCTTTCACACAAACATAGCCTTGAATGCTGGGTTGAAGAGGGACCATGCCTATTGATTGTACACCCTGCAGCATTGTGCCTGCCAACAACACACTTCACGGACTGCACATTCGGCACAGATGTGCAAGGATAAATGATGTTTCAGATTGCCATTTACAGTGTAGAAGTAATGCAGTTTGACACTACTTTAGCTGCCATGGCTCAGTGCTATAGAAACATTGGTGTTGTAGTTATACAAAATCTTTAGCCTTCCCTGCGAAAGAGTGTTGGTATCTCATCAAAATGTAAATTCTAGGGTTCCATAGTATTGAGCGATAGCACTTAAATAGTGTCAAATTGCATTACATATATGTCGTAGATGCACCTATCAATTCAGCAAGTCTATGAAAATTGATTTAGATCACAGCTATCAGTGGAAATCTGTGGAAAGTGGCTGGTCTGACAATATTTTCATTGTTTTCTTAATATCACACATGCAGAGCAGTGCTTTCAAAGCTTTAGGCAGGTGTGGGCAAACTTTGGCCTTTCAAATGTTTTGGACTCCAGCTCCCACAATTCCTAACTGCCTCAGGCCCTTTCCTTTTCCCCCTCAGCCAGAAGGGAGTTGGAGTCCAAAATACCTGGAGGGCCAAAGTTTGCCCATGCCTGCTTGAGAGTGGTGCATAAAAATAAGCAACTTCAGC